CCCTTCCAACTCGCGCGCGTAGCCGCGCTGCCGCCGATATCGCGGGCTGGGGTAGGGGGGGCAAGTGCCAAAGCGCACCTTCCAGCTCACGCGGCATTCGATATATCCAGAGATGGGTAAAAATACCGTTCAATATAAACGTGTGAATTCCTATACTTTTACAAAGGAGTTTCAAGGGGATAACTTGCGAGTTCGATATACCCAAAAATTCTATATATGTAAGTTCGATATAACCGTGTTCCACTCTACTTACGAACACTTCAAAGCGAGTAATGTCAGTTTCCAGTGGGCTCCTCATTCAGGACTGTTGAGCTGATGGTGTATGTGTTTTATGATGCCATGAGATGTTTTAAAATGCAACTTCTAACATTGTTGTCATAAGTGTGAACAGAGTTGACAAAACCTGGTGGTGGTGGTGGAGAAACTTTATTATTGTCCGGCAAATTAGTGGCCCGGGCTCAGGTCTTCCATGTCGGGACGTCAAGGCCTTGCCTCTCCGCCGCTACAAGGGCCTGCTGGATTACCCAGAGTTGGTCGGCGAGCTTGGAGCTCCGCAGAGCGGCTTTTCACCTCGCCAAAAGAACATCAGGAATAATACGCTTTGCTTTAGCCTCGCATTCCCAGAGCATCTTTGAGTTCAGTTTATTTACCACGTACAGTTGTACAGTAAGTGGCTGGGACAGAGGAAAAAAGCTGTATAAAACAGCTTGACAAAGCCCCATATCCCCATGGCAACTGTGGCAACAAAAACTGCAAAATCAAATTAAACACATAGTTAAACCAACAATGCATACGCTTTGCATCAGAACAAAAAATTGTGTGTGTTAGTAGCTGTGTCTGTCTGGCAGACCTTACAGAGGTTGGTGCCATAGATCTCGAGATATATACGGTGACATATCAGTAGATTAGGGTAAGTGCTCATTTGCAACTGTCGCCAGGTAACTGCTTGGGCTCTGCATAAATTGTCATGAGGTGGAGGACAGCATCGGCGGGCCAAACAGAACGCTTTGGTCAGTTCATTGTATCCCGTAAGTCGATCCTAGTCCGCATACTCTTCAACAAGGCCATCGCCTCCTGCACGGTTCGTTGCATCGCGTGCGGCGCAGTACGCTGCCTCGTTAAAGTTGGGGAAGAGTGGGCAGACTTCGCCCATATGGGCGGGGATCCACATCAGCGTAGCCTGGGAAATCTGGCTGGCATGCACAAGTACGTTAAGGGCTTCAGTCGAAATCTGACCCTTATCGAAATTTCGTACTGCTGAGCGTGAGTCACTAAGCACAGTTTGAGTTTAAGGGTCAGTTATAGCCTGAGCGATGGCCATTTCTTCAGCTATCTCCGGGTGTCGGGTCTTGACACTAGCTGCGTGCGTTGTCGTTTTGTCAGTGTTAATCATGATGATAGCGAACCACCGCCCGTCCGGATAGCACGCGGCGTCAGTGAAACGCGTGTTTTTATCATTGCAGTACTGTATTTACTCGATTCTACCGCGCCCTCGATTGTAACGCGCACCCGATTTTCACCGCGAAAAAAAACAAAACCGTAAGACATTGATTGCAACGCGCACCCATTTTTCTCGCTGGCCCGCACGATCACACGACTCGAAAAAACGACTCCTTTCGGGAGCGTCTTCCATTTAAATATGAGGTACGGGCGAAGCTTGTGCCCATCTGACGTGTAACAGAGCATTGCCGTTACTGTAGTTTTACCATGGACCGATGTCAGCACGCGAACTTGCTTCGCCCCCTTCTTCTCAATGGTTGTGGTGCCAGGCATGTCGAAGTAAAGAGGCGTCTGATCGGCATTCCCGATTTGCCGAAGCAGGTAGCCGTTGTTGCGCCGCAAGTTTAGGACGAACCTCTGAAAACAGTGAAGCTTTTCATCGTACTCCTCCGAAAAACTTTTCGCATATGCATGTTCCCCTTCGGAGGGAAAAGCCTTTCCTCTTCATAAAGTTAGTTAGCCAGCACCTGCTCGCTTTAACTGGCTCCGCATTAGACCTTTTTCTAAGACTAATTGCATAGCCCGCACTTGGAGCAGTTCTGTCGTCACGGGCCGCTGTGCTGCCTGCTGCTCAAGCACATACTCGCCGAGTAGCTCTTTAATTTGCGGAAACCGACCCTGCTGTGGTCCACTGAAGCCTTTGCGTGAAGCTTTGCTGTCGACAATCTTCTGCTTTTGTTTACGCCGGTCCCGCACGCACGTTTCGGGAACTCCGAACGACCGCGATGCAGCCCGATTTCCGTCCGTTTCTGCACACGCGATGACTTTTCTTTTAAAAGCGGCATCGTGGTGCACTCGAGTTTTTGGAATCTGCTTTTTCACGCCGTCGATGCTAATGCACTACTAGATGACGAACTGCTCAGCACACGTACGAAGTGCCGCACATGGGAAACACATAGGCAGAAATGGCCGACGCGCCATGCCGACGCACGTAGGGGGCGGCCATTTTGGATTTGCCGATGGCAATAGATTGACCCTAATTTTTTTGTTCGTACTCGATTCTAATGCGCATTCGATTTATGAACCCGCTTAACCGGAAAAAAGGTGCGCGTTAAATTCGAGTAATTACAGTATGTTTTCAGTAGAAGTGTAGCTCTGGCTTTTCTGCATCCTGGGTTGTAAATCGGGTTCATGTCTCTTGGAATCGAGGCAATGTGTATTTTCTATCTAATTTGCTTAGGTATGTCCACCTTGTCACCATGCTATCAGTGATATGGAATGCCCTACTCTTGTAATATATGTCTTTCCGTGTTGGTGAGAGTAAGCCTCTCCAGGTGTGAGATTCGCTGTGCTTCCGCTATTTCATCGAAAGTGTTATGAATCCCCAGTTGGAGTAACCTCTCAGTGCTGGTAGATTCTGGTAGGCCAAGGGTGACTTTGTATGCCTTGCGAATGATGATATTAATCTTGTTCTTTTTGCCTTTATACCAGTTGTGCATTGAAGCTACGTATGCGATGTGGCATGTGACAAAGCAGTGTAGCAGCCTAATAAGGTTGGCCTCCTTCAGTCCACCTCTTCTATTTGAAACTCGCTTGATAAGTCTGACGGCATTGGTGACCTTGTTAGAGAGCTTGATTACAGTCTCACCATTCACCCCGCTGGATTCGATAATCATTCCAAGGACTTGGATGCGTTTTGACAACAGGGATGGTGCCCCCACATTTGGTGTGCAATTGGACTGCTTCGTTTGCTCTTGTTTTAATGAAACTCTTGGGCGGCCTTGTGTTAACATGATAGCGAATACTGTTGCCGTAAAGTGAAAGGCTGGGTAGATGGTGCCATCTTGCAAGGCCGAGGTTAACCGGGTAAGCACGGAATTATTATCGCAGAAACCTAGTACATTTTACTGTTCTGCTGGTGTAAACTCATGGCAGTGGCCTCTTACCAAATGAGTTGCCTTTTTATGCTTATTTTGCTCAAGGGCTTCAGGCAAAAACAAACGTGTATATTCAGTGGAACTTTGATTATACGTCGCCCGGTTTCGCGGCAACCCGCTTTTTACAACCGACTGGTTGGGTTTTGGCAAAATCGCCATAGGCATAATTGGGCTTGTTCCAATATTCCAATGCTTAGAATATTTGAAGAAAGAGTGGAGTATTTGAACTTATTTCGATTCGAATTTAAATAGTTGAAAATTTCAGTCTTCGCAATGAAGGAATAGGTGTATATTACTCCGCATGTAGCCGCTTGTAAAGGCTGTTTTACTGCAGGAGAGAATGCTATGCCATGAAAGCACCTATGCAGGGAATATCTGCTTTGCAGTGAGGCCTGACTTTACATTATAAGGGGCCCTGCAAAACATTTTGAGCATGGCCAGAAAACGCTGCCGATCAGTGGTTGAGGGTACTTAGAACATGCGAGCCATATATTATAGCGCAGCACGGGGCCTGGAATTCACAATAAATTTTCAGTCAGCTAAAAATTGCTCTCTTCTCTTGGCAAATGACGGAAGGTGTTGAAAAATCACTCGTAGAAGGCCATCTATCAGCCATTGGCTGATTTGAAGATGGCACGCTCTGTAGTTACAGGGATCGCTGCAAGAGGCCGCGACTTGTCCACACGTGCACATGCGATCACTCTGGAAAGGCCACGTATTCTAAGAAAAAAAATGAAGAAAAAAGTGCTCAAGGTCGCGAGGCGCAGTGACGTATTTTCTTTGCCCTTGCCATCCCTCCCTGCTTTGCTTCCAGCGCTTTCGTCGGGGCGAGAGGAGAGAACGCGATTGCAGTGCGCGGCAAATCTTTCTAACTTCATTCGTACTAGACGGATTCTTAAAAGTTTTGCCGTGTTGAATTCGTCAGACTATAAGCTATTTTTGTGAATTCATTCCAAGTACTGGTCTGAAGTTGGGGGTGCATTCTTTGTGCAACGTAACATCTCCACATGTAATTGCATTGTTCTTTCATGTTGAAAACACTGTAAAGTATCAGGTTTTCTTATGAGGAGCACCTCCTTAGCATTTCATGTGAGTGCAGGGATGCGATTGCTGCTCCTAACATCGCTAAGAAGCGAAACTGGCTACACAGTGCTACGCTTGGTCAAAGATATTTCACCAAGCATGCATCAAGTCATTTTGTGGTTTTCTACTGAGAAGGTGGAGTGTGATTGCCTTAAATATACAGTTAAATCCTGATGCAATGAAATTGACGATATCCATTAAAAAATTCAGTTGCCAAAGGAACGGATATATGCTATATAAACATAACACTATTCTCCACAGACTGCGCTTGGGCAAGATTTGTCCGAAAGGAGACAGAAAGTTAGATGGGTCGATGAGATTAAGAAGTTTTCATGTATAACCTGGCAACGGAAACCACAAGACCGGGTTGATTGGTGGATCATAGGAGAGGCCTTTGCCCTGCAGTGGGCGTAGTCAGGCTAATGATGATCATGTTCTGAAATCAGAATAGTTTATTACATCACAGGTTGCATTATGCTGAGGGTTAGCTGTTATTCACTGTAACGTATTCGTGACACTGAGCCTGTTGTCTCTTGGCAGACTGCCCCGTTCCAAGCAGCTGCTGGGTGTCATCAACCAGAACTTTGGCACGCTGGCCTTCTGCCGCCGCTGGCTAGACAGGCTGGGGCAGTCCAAATATCTCATGGCTCTCAAGGATCTCTGCGACAAGAGCATCGTAGATCCCTACCCTCCCCTGTGCGACACCAAGGGCTGCTACACGGCCCAGTTTGAGCACACTATCTTGCTGCGCCCAACGTGCAAGGAGGTCATCAGTCGCGGAACGGACTACTGAGACACGCCGGAAACTCTGGTGCTGTTATAGACCATCCAGCCACGTTGCAGTGGTCTAGAACGCAAGGGAGCAATGAGCAACTCCTGCGAATGGCAGTAATATTTTGGTGGTGTCTCACTTTTTATTTGGAAGGCTAATATGTGTACAGCGTGGCCCCTTGTTGAACAGGTAGACAAATGCATGGCTCACTGTCCAAGTGTGCTCCAAGGAGAGGCCGAAGCAATCTCAACGTTGTCTTGCCCTTGGAAGACATTGGATGGAGTCCGTGCCCCTTGGGGTACGCAAAGCTGGTATACTTCTATGTACCAGTGTGAAAAAATGCAGAGCTCTGCGTGCACATTATCTTTAGGAGCGTACTGCACTGTACATTTAAGGCTTAGGGAAAAAAAGTACAGAAACATTTGGAAAAGGACTTCATGCACTCGTTAAAACGTGAGATTGGAGGTGGCACTTTTTAAGTTTAAAACATTTTTTTTACGTGTGCCTGAACTCGCACTTTTAGTGCTGTTGTTATCAGGAGCCCGAGTACAGCTACAAAACTGTCAACATTTCCAGAAATTGCAGGGGAAGGGTTTAGCAAGAAACTTGTTGTTTTGAATAAAAAAGTCTTTTCGTTTTGTTTTGTTTTTTGCAAAACAAAGGAGTGCTTGGTTATTCAATGATAAAGTTGATAAAAAGAAGTTTCGCTTTGATTCCCATTTATTTTCTCATATTTCATCTTTTTAAAGATGAAACTAATATTTTACAGCCACAAGTTGCCAAACTCACTTAGGCTGCTATAATTGCGCAATCACTCTCTGGTGGTCTTAGGGCTCACCCCAAAAGTAGAGCTATGATATGCTTGGCCTTTGCATCAATTACAAACTTTAACTTTTTTTTTAATGTACAGTTCAGGCTTTCTGTTATCATCACAAACAATTGGTTTCTGATTTTATGATTGGCACAGGTCCTGCTGGCATCACAACAAGCTTTTCCATTTGGTTACAGACTTATATCTATTTTACACAGCAACATTGCGAACTAGCTTTTTCTCATGCTGATACCTTCATACTGGCCTAACAAGCCTTGTCGGCAGCCTGCTATCTTGCCTTTTAGATCACTGCCCGACCTTGTGCTGTTGTGCTTCCTTTTTTTGGGAAGCAGTGTTTAATCCCATGTGCCCTCATACTTGTTGGTTGGTTTGTACGTTTGTTAAATGGTATATTTTGTTGACTATGCTCCGTTGTCTCTTTCTGTTTATTTTGCCAAGCATGTTGTGAGAGCACACATTTAGTGCAGGCTAAGATTAACCATAATTTAACTAACTGCATGTATTTAGATAAGTTGACTTAAATCGCCTCTCTGATGTACAACAGCACTGTGAGAAACCAGGAAAAAAAGAACGCACAAGAGCAATTTTTGTCCTGCTTTTCTGTGTCAATATCTGATTGAACACCAACATGCTCATATTGCAGGTTTGATTGAAGAAATGCGTATCACGTTTGGCTTTATTTGAAAAGAACTGTGTTAGAGTTGTGAAACTATGCTTTCGGGATTTTTAATAAAGCTAGGAAAGTATGATCATGGAATAATTTGCTCAGGCACTTGTACTTTCCTGATATTTCAATAGCTAGGAGATCCACCGCCCCAATACTTGTTATGCATAAAGGATCTCTGCATCTTTATTGCAATTTCTTTTACTACATTACAGCAGGCTGCGCAGGAAACACAATAATGAAAAGTAATGTTGGAGTACTAAATTTAATTCATAGTATTGTGGTTCAGAAACTCGGTTGAACATGTCTTTCAACTTAACATTTTTAACGTTTAACTCGTTACATAACTTTGCCCTGGAGGATTCACATAGCTTGATAAAGCAATGCACCACAGCTGAATATGTGAAATGGTGCCATCAAAGTGTTTGAAACCAGCAAAATAAATCATATCTGTTATGCAGATTCTTATACATGCAGATGAGCATAACACAGTTAGAAATGATATGCAGCGGCTCGGTTATGCAGATTCTTATATATGCAGATGAGCATAGCGCAGTTTGGAGCTCCATGGAAACTGGCCAGACAGAAGCATAGACATAGTATATACTGATGTGTTTGAAGGTATTTACATTGTAAGCTAAAAATGGGCTGGACATATCTGTCCTGACAAGTTTGCCATGAATTGCTAGATGTATTTGCACTTTGCTACGTTGAGGGATTTTTGTGTTCGGCCAAGTGTCTATGTTCGCATACTATTCTGGATAACCTATGAGAAGTTTTAAACTGTTGTTTGTGGTCATTGGGCTATGAAACTGTGAAAAATATTTTACTTTCTCTTTCTTGTTCCCTGCACCGATAAAGCAGAAAGGGCTTGTCAGTTTGCATAGAATAAACTGAAATAGTATGAAGTTAGCATGATGAGGTTGTTGTTTTAGCCAGGTATGTACATAATACTATAGTTATTTTGACTACAGCCTTGAAATGCAGCACACCATTTTCTGTGGGGACAAACTACTTGCACTGCTGTTGCAGAAGGCCTTGTCTTTATATTCCTAATTTTGTTGTGCAGAAAACTGCTTATCAAACTGGTTCATAATTTAGTAATAACGCACTCGTAACCTTTAGAAAGAGTAAGGAGTACTCTGATGAGTAAGGAGTACTCGAATTTGAAACGTAGTTTTCTACTAGTACAGTTCTCCAGCCAAGGCGTTCGTAATGCTTAATTAAGGTGAAATTGATTAGGCTGAGAATTCACCGAAGCACACTGTATCTCATGGACATGTTACATAATGAAACGTCCATTGCTATCTATTTGTGAAGGATGAAGCAAAGCTTGAACCACAAATGCATGTGACTATTAAGTGCAGTCTAGGAAGTTCACTCACCGCATATTTTTGTGTGTGTGTGTGTGTGTGCACAAGTTTGCACAAACTGGAAGGTCATTGTGCCAGACTAAACTTGAAGCCATTTTGTAATGGTGTTTCATTTTATACAGATCAATTTGTTTTGAGTAGATGTCCAGCTATTTCTATTGGATTGGCCCACTATTGGCAAGGGCACTGCATTTCATGATAGTTATTGGGTTTTACTGAGTAATTGGGGTTTTACCATAATATGCTGATGAGATGTGCTATACATGAGGGCCCTGGAAATTGTGACCATGTGGGGTTCTCTTACGTTCTCCTAAATTTAAGTGCACGAGTCTTTAGCGTTTTGTCTCCATCAATGTGGCCACTATGGCCGGGACTCGATCCAGCGACCTCCGGGTCAGACGCAGAATTTCTTTAGTCATTATAGCATGCGTGAGGACGAGCTCCTCAGCTTGAGAACTTCTGCATCATGGAGTGTTGAACACGGGATATCAAGTTGCTTTATTAAGGAACTTAGATGTTTCTATATGATAAGAGCTGGCCATTTGCTCAATGAGCAGTTGTTGCCAAGTATGAATGACTGCAGTCTCTGCAGTATATCTCTGGGTCCTGTGTCTATTTCATTTTTTTTGCAGAATTTGCAGGAGAGGGTGTTGTGTTCCTCGTTTTCATTGGTGCTGTAGCTTTTTATTTTTTCTTAAGCCCTGATAAGTATGACGAGGACAGCACAAGCGTTTCGATGTAATATGGTTCGCCTTAAGTGCTTTGTTGATAAAAGTGGCAGTTTGCTTGCTTCCTATAGCTCTAAACCTGCAAGATGTATAATCTTGTTCAGTTGATAGATTATTTACTTTTTTTTTGTAAGTACTAAAAGTGTCACCAGATTTTTTGGAAGTGTGCATTTTTCAGCTTTAGGTTTGTGCAAGCAACTTATCACTCTGTCTGGCAGTGCTTTTTTGCCATTTTTTTTTTTCACCAATGCCTTTTCTGTGCCAGCAGCACAAAGTAAAGCTTTAAAAGTACTATCTTAGCAGGTTTAACCAGAGCTGAAGGTTTGTTACTGCTTATCTTTTTTGCACACTTTTCGGGGATGCCAGCGTCTTGCAAATATAGTTTTCTTTAAAGTCGACATTGCCAATGCTCAACACACACATTTAGTAATACTTGCGAATATACATGGGACTGCTAGGAGGTCAGGGGAATGGCTAAAATTTTATAATGAATGTTACTACAGGTGCTGACATTTGCAGTTTTAATCCAGAAATCTCATTGCACTTGGCCTTTCATTACACTTGACACAGCTCTTTAAAAACTCAAATCATCTATGCTATGGGTAATTCTGCAATACTGCTTCATTTTTATACCTTGTAGTCATACAGGCAATTTGATTGCACATTCGTGAACTAAGCAGAACTGTTGAACAGTGGAAGCGGCATATCAAGTACACATCAAGGTTCAGTTTGCAGATTATAGGGGGCATCAAGACCTCTGTTAAATATATTCGTATTGGTTTGTCTCCACTAATCTTGAAACTGCAGTAACTGCCCCACTGCTCTGTGTTTGGTTGTGCAGTTGGATATAGAGCTCCAGTTGATGCTGTTTTCTATCTTGTGCATTGGCATTTCTTATAAGCTTTATAACTGCCTTCATTTGCTCAATAAAAAAGTGTTCACGACAAAGGTTTTGAACTGGAAACCATGAATCTGTCTTAATTTTAAGGTTTTTCACAGCTTTCTATTCCTTCAAGTCCATGCTAAGAACTAACTTTACTGATAAAAAAAAAGGGGAAGGGAGTTGATTTCATTTCCTGACTTAGGGGTCTGATAGTGGCAATCCCACCTTTTTCGTATCATTGCGTTGATGTGCGTTGGTGTATTCCTAGTGTTGACTTTGTGTCTTGTTGCGCTGCCAAAGAGGATCATATCTGAGGCCACGTATAAAAAGCACATGATTGAGATCTGTTCCGCCAGGTGCCACGATCATTCAGATGCTCAGGAGAAAACCACCTGTTATTTCATTGAACTGATTGAACTAACTTTCAGTAATTAAGCTAACAGTTGACTTGCCCTTATCATTTGAGTAAACCGATGTTATATGTAACCAGTATGATAACTTGAGGAAACGGGGTAAGCCCTATACCCGCCATGTATTTTAGGTGAAGTTTGTGTACCTTTTTCTTGATAACCTGCAAAGGCATTCAGCGTGCTGAAGTGCCGAAGGCATCCGGTGGGTTGCCCGCATAGCGACCATGCCTGTGTACTGTTAAATGCGAATGCATTTCTTGGTCGGGCTATGTCAGGCGTCCCTCGAGATCTGTCCACCACCCTCTCCCATAGGAGCAGCCACGGGCATGCGCGTCCCTAGCAACCTTAAACGGCGCTATTGGCTGCATGGTGTAAGAAAAAAAAATTCTTCTAACGCTGGGTTTTTCACGTGCAAAACGCTGTTATGGGAGTTGCGAGCATTTTTTTTGTGTTAGATTTCTGCCCGAGCAGATTCTGTGATCCAGTGAGTTTTCACAAGTTTCCCCAAGACGAACAACAAAGAAACACCTGGAAAGACTTTGTTCTTTGCCAAATACTTTGCTATGATCCTTTTGTTGAAGAGCTGTGTTGTAAACGGATGGGTACACATGTGAACAAGGAGGGAACTCTCATGCCTGCTGTTACGAGTGCGCTAGCGTCCCTTGCAGAGACACTGTGTGCATCCGTCAAGGACACTAGGTACTTTCGAAGAGACACTCACCGCGTCATTCACAGACAACAAAGGCATTCAGAGACGCTATGTGCGTCCAACAGCGGGGCTGCCCCCTTCTCCTCCAGCATCTTGACACCTATAAAAGGCTGGCGCATATAGTGTCGGGCGGCTTCTTGGTCTACCTTCTGTACATACATTGTAAATATAAACGCTTTGTTTCCTTCTGGCTGCCTTTTGCTTTGCCACTGCCTGGATGCTACTGCAGCTAGCCATGGTGACAGTCAGTGCGTCTGTCTGGCACTTTTGTGGCACGTGTGTGTGAGAGCAGAAATTCAGCACGATGTGCGGCCCAGCCTGTGTGGTCATGTGACCGAGCCACCTATGCATCGACGTCACTCCCCAAGTCGGCGCTGCAAAACCGAAACTGAAATTGGTCCACATAATTAGAGCAATATTAAATTATTTAGCGAAAATACTCAAATCTTGGTGCCTGTATCATGATTCTTATATCCGAAGAAAATGCTTACAGCAAAAAACACGCATGCCACTAATTTGGTGGCACCACCCCTTTAAAGTGAAGCGGATTATCAGGGCATATGAAACAAAGATATAGTTTTTTTTTCTTTAAGTGGTGTTGTATGTGTCAAAATGCGGGTATAGAGCTTTAGTACCGGGGCCCTAAGCTTCTTGCGTACACATGCCCTTGCGTTCCTTTGTATTGTACTTGAGTGCGGCTGGGAGTACAAACGTAACTGTACCCTGAGTTAACGCTCTGGCTTGTTTTTCACTTATCACTCGGGCCTAGTTACCATGCATCTATGTCCGAGTACCCGGGTATCCTTGTATCTTTGCTACCAATGTCAATGTTTTCCCGATCATATACACATATTCACCGTATCTTCCGAGAAATCTTGTGTCAGTGCCCCTTTTCAGGCATTCACAGATAATAAAAGAAAATTTTACCTAACAATAACAAGATAAAGAAAAAGAAAAAAAAATGTGTGAAGGGAGCTGCTGTTACCTGGTCTGCAACAACATCGACTTCTATGCTTAGAATATTAAAATATGTTGTCTTTTTAAGAAATCTGGAAAGGCTTCGCCCAGAACACCGAAGTGCGGCATCTGATCGCCTCCGCGACTATGAATAGTCCCGCTCATGCACTGAGCGATGTTCTCCGAAGGTAGGGCCACCGGCAATCCAGCTTTTGAAGTCACCCTAGAGCGCGCCTATTGGTACATACTTGTGTGCATCCGCCTTTGACGAGAAACTGCCTCGGAGTTCTACCAAAGTTGTATCTGACTGTAGTTAACTGCAGTGACGAGTGCCCTTCGTAAGAGAGGAGACTGTCTCAGTTCGTCGACTGCAGAGCCGCGGTGGTGTAGTGGCTAAGATACTCAGCTGCTGACCCGCAGGTCGCGGTATCGAATCTCGGCTGCGGCGGCTGCATTTTGGATGGAGGCGGAAATGCTGTTGGCCCGTGTGCTCAGATTTGGGTGCACGTTGAAGAATCTCAGTGGGTCGAAATTTCCGGAGCCCCCATTACGGCGTCTCTCATAATCATATGGTGGTTTTGCGACGTTAAACCCCGCGATTCAGTCATAAAATATAGCTGGCTCACTATACCGCTGCCTACTTCTCTCGCCTCCCACCAATCCTTCGGTCCATCTGTACCCCGGAGCAGTGCGAAGGTATGCGACTTTCTTGGTACTGTAGAGAGGACCAATGGTCATGTAGCACCAAAGAGGAGAAAAAGAAGGTTTGATTTCCAACAATGCAGTTTGAAACGGACCTTGTTATAAGCTACAAGTTTTGGTATCGGTGGTGTCGTACGCGAGAAATTGGCAGATCCCACGTACAGCGGGAATCTATGATATGCGAAGCACGAATGAGAAATGTTGATATGTCACTTTAAAATCGGCACAACGTTACGAGGTGGAGGTAAATGATGTCGTACATCACTTTCGTGTCATTATTATCATGTTTGGATGTGTCGTTTACCTTCGTCATCTATTCACGTCACGTGATACCAAACTTAGTATATGTGGAGCTAGCGAAACAGCCGTGAGCACGCTATAAGTGTGTTATGTTGTCATGTTCTTACATGACACGCGTCAGGGTTAACATGTTTGCTCCAGTCATATATTTCGCCATCCATTGGCGTCACGTAACACCAAATTTGGTGTATGTGGAGCTAGCAAAACAGCCGCGAGTGCATCATGAGGGGCCCAGTACACTCCAACGTAGCGTTGACGTGCGCGCACGCTGGCCACAGCGACGCTACGTTAGCAAAACGCGAGCACTCTATAGTCTGACGCCAGGCGCGACCAGTGTCCGTCGGCGTGGCCCGACGGCAACCAGCGCGAAATGCGACATGCTGCATTTCACGCCGATGCGTTACCCAGACAACACTGCGTCTCCCTCTTTTCGTGTCGGGGGGACGCCGGATGCGCTGAAACGTGCATGCGTCAAAGCAATGCAGTGCGGCGCACGCCTGTGAGTATATGGCAGCGAGCGCATCATCATTGTGGCATGGAGTCATGTTACATCACATGCATGTAGTGATTATCATGTTTCGATGTGTCATTTACCTATGTCTTCCGTTCGCGTAGGGTAATACCGAGTTTGGTAAATCTGAAGTTATAGCGAAACGGCCGCGAGCGCATCATGAGCGTAGCATGTAGTCATGTTACATGAAACGCGTCTCATGTTTGTGCCAGTCGCATACCTTCGTCATCTATTCACATACTGTAATGCCAAATTCGGTATATGTGACGCTAGCAAAACGGCCGCGAGCGCATCATAAGCTAGGCATGTAGTCATGTTGTTACATGACATGCATGTCATGATTTTCATGTTAGGGTCTGTCGCTTCTGTTCGCCATGCAATCATGCCTTTATGCATAGTTTTCAAACATGCCATGTGAACGAAACAACTGCAAGAGTTGCAGGACCATGAAATGTAAATCATGACATACATGCCCTGATTTTCATGTTATGACTAGTCAAATATATTCTTCATACAGTCATGTTATGCCATACCAAGTTTGGTATTGATACCATTATCGAAACGGCCAGGAGAACTAAATATCGTAAGCGGCTAGATAGATAGATAGATACGCTCAAAGTCACCGAAGTTCGTTGAAGAATGCTTCGCATTTAAAAAGGGAGTAACGCTTTAAAGTACTATAGCTACTCTAATATGAGAGAGCTTAAAGCCGTGCCGTGGTGATATTGGCACGCTGTCTATCCATAGGTGATTTGTGTGTTTATAAAAAAAGTGTTTAACGATTTAAAGTACTTCATACTCGACTATGGGGGAGCCCTGAGCCGTCCCGCTAGAACCTAGGAGGGGAGGGGGGTAGAAAAAGTGGGTAACGATTTTGAGTACAGGGTACTCTACTATGGCAGAGCTTAAAGCCGTCCCGTGGACTGCCGTGGGCCTCAATGTGTGTCTAGAAAAAGTGGTTAACAATTTAAAGCACTTCGTACTCTACTATAGAAAATCATCAAATGACACATATACATGATGGTTAAATTTGTACCACTGCTGCCACAAGCGTTCAATACTTAATTTCTCTATACAGATACACGCTTGTGTTGCTGGTATTGGGTCAGGAAATTAAGCATCCTGGTATGTTACGCCGTTTATTCTGACATTGGTGATCAGCCTTTTGCAACGCTTTAGGTAGTAACGACGATCCTTTTAACTCAATTAATATACATGAGTGTAAGTTACATTAAATTAGAAAAAAAAATTGACAGATCTCACATTCAGTGGGCATCGATCATATGTGAAGCACGAATGAGAAAGGTCGATATACTACTTTAAATGAGCACAATGTTACGAGGTAGGCCCGCCGCGGTGGTCTAGTGGTTAAGGTACTTGGGTGCTTACCCGTAGGTCGCGGGATCGAATCCCGCCTGTGGCGGCTGCATTTCCGATGGAGGCGGCAATGTAGGCCCGTGTGCTCAGATTTGGGTGCACGTTAAAGAACCCC